ATTTAGATTATTTAGATTCGATTAATTAGACTATTCAGATTATTCAGATTAGATTAATTAGAATATTTAGATTATTTAGATTATTTTTTAACAGTGCTCCAACACCCCCTCCCTTGATTTTATGAGAGATAAAATACAATTTTTATATATAGGGGCATATTGGGAAATTGTGAGAGACCCAAGTCCCATTTGGAATTTGGGTGTCAGGGTCTTTTTTCGGTCGGATCAGGGGGAAATATAAAAGTTCTTAAAAATTAAAACGAGCAGCTGGAGCTGTTCTTGCCCTGCAAAAGGGGAGAAAACCCCCGTGGGATGGAGGGATTGAAAAACAGCACCACATCATTAAAAAAACTAAAAAATAAAGACTTTACATTAACGCTGTTCTCTGTCCCTACACCATTTGTATGGGGGGGAAGGACACGGGGAATCCTCGTGTTTCCAGCACTGGGAATGGGATCAGCAAGGAGTTTTCAGTGGGATGCCGCCTCTGGCAGCACATCCTGCACCATCTCAGCTGCTGAGGGACTTCAGCTTTTCCCAAAATAACATCCCCGATTCCTAATCCCTGTAAAAAAAAACCCAAAAAAACCCCAAAATAATAATAATTAAAAAAAAATAATAAAAAAAAAATAAAAGAGATTGCTGGAAGATTGTCCCAGATTTCAGATGCCAGGGTTAACCTGGCCTGGGCAGGGTTAATTTTCCTCTCAGGGTTTCGGTTCCTGCTTGGATTTACCTGTGTGGTGACTCCTCAGCTCCCCTGCAGCAATATCCCCCTGGGAACATTTTGCTCTTTGACACCCCCCCGTCCCCCCCCCCCCGACTCTTCCCATTCTCCACAAAATCGCTCCGGTTTCTTTTTTAACCCTTTTTTCTCCCTCGGGGCAGGATTCAGCCCAGGCATGGGGAGGCTCCCTGGGGGATCCACGGGAGGGGTGGAGGGTTAATTGGTGGGATCTCCAGGAGGAGCAGGAGGGTCCTCGGTGCCATCCCTGGCTCGGTCACAGAGTCACAGAGTCACAGATCCCACTCCCCGGGCAACTCGGTCTCATCATTTGGGGGGGTTTTGGGTGCTGTGGGTCGTTAAAGAAACCCCCAGGGACTGGTTTCCCTGGCCGGGACTCGCCAGGTCTGGACGAGCCCGACGTGGCGACAACAGAGCTGCCGCTTTCTGGGTCCTTTATAAAGCAGAGCGGGCAAAACGAATCCGAGGTTCTGAACCCAAAGTTCTCCTTTCCAAACGAGGGGACCTCGTGTGGGGCTCGTTCCCGGGGGTTTCCAGCGGAGGAGCCGCTGGGCTGAGCCCGCTCCTCCCTCCTTCCTCGCCCGGAAAAGCCCTCGGAGAGGCAGCGGGATCCCTTCAAATCCCAGAAAACCGGCTGGAGCACCATCTGGAGGCAGCTCCTGGAAGGCGTGGGCAGAGCGGGCGGCTCTGGGAGCACCTTTCGGGGGCTGAGCAGGACCCAGCCCCGGCTCCAGAGCTCCCGTCCCACCCTCGGCCTTGGATCCCAGGGCCTCGAGTTATCCCGGTCCTGCCTCTTCCCAGCTCGGACAAAGCCCCTTTCTGGCCGTTCTGCCGCCTCACCCGCAGCCAGGTGGCCCCAAAATGAGGGGTTTTCCCAAGAACAGGAGGGAAGCCCTCACACCACACTTTTCCCCCTCCAATCTTTGCATTTATGACCCCGCTGCAACTTCTCGCCCGCGTTTCTCTGCCCTCCCTCAGTTCTTTTTCACCGGAGCGCCGAGCCCAGGGCAAGAATCACTCCCCTGGCCCCGCTGGCCCCACTGTTTCGCTGCTCTCCCCGCCCCACATCAGCTCCCCGGGGTTCTGGAGCTTTCCCAGCCTGGCTGGAGCAGCAGCCAGGGCTCCTCCGGGTTTATCATCCCATCAGAGCAGTTGGGGGACAGTTGAGTGTCTGTCCTGGGGCCGAGAGAAGGGAAGGCTTTGCTCTGGCAGATAAAGGGGCCCTCAGGAGGAGCCAGGGGAGGCCGTTGGTATCTGAGGGTCTCCCGGGCCCGGCAGACACACCCTGGGCACGTGTGGGGCGGGGGGGCCTCACGTAGGGAGAGGGGTCAGTTAACTGAACCCTCCTT